ATCTCAATCTAAATATTTATACTCAAATCAATTGAATACTGATTAAAAGAGAAGAGAACTAAAAGAGTAAAAAAACAACCGAAAAAATGATGGATCTATATTTTTCTTCCTTACTAATTAACTATGTTTTACTGATTATTATTAATATATAATTTTACTATTATTGAAAAATGGAGTACAAAATATTAATCATTTTTTAAAAATTTGGGGCCCCATAAATTCGGGGGCCCTGTTCTAAATAACATATTGAACCCCCTAAAAAACGGCCTGACCTACAGGGTAACACAAAATTTACAAAAGATTTAATGAAATTTGGAATAAGTTGGAAACTTTTCTATAAATGTTTATGGGGAAAATCTACGTACCAATTTACTAGATATGGTCTCTTCGGTATGTCTTTTGTTTTGCCCCGAGGGATCAGGGGAAGGAGGGTTGGGGGGTCAGGGGGTAAACATGGCTGAAACTCCCTTCATGGAATTTCGTACCTGAGACCTCCCATATGGGGTGTGAGTCGGCGACCAGCTGAGCTGGACCGCTTTCTCACTCTGTTCGATATGTCATTGTTCACAATATACTTCATAATTATCAACTTAATTATGTGGAATCGCCCACTCCGGGTGCTCACACTCCGATAGAATTGTGGAGTAAATCATAGTATGATCTGGAGCACAAGAGGAACCACCAAATTAGATGAAACAGTTACACTGTCGGTCTCTAAGAGCATCTCCAATGGTAAAATGTGCACGGTGCACACGTGGCATGAGAAATAGCCACATAAATATTAGTAAATAAATTCTTTCTCTCCTTATTTGAATGATTTTATATAGTTTTGGTAAGTTTTTCTCCATACTGTCAAGGAGACCGTCTAGATGTTGACATTGTTGTTGACATTGCAGAGAAAAACTTACCAAAATTGTATAAAATCATTCAAATAAGGAGAGAAATAATTTATTTGCTAATATTTATGTGGCTATCACTCATGCCACATATGCAACGTGGACATTATAGCATTGGAGATGCTCTAAAACGGTCAACGTGTACTTCCACTTTCCAATTAATATCCACCGATTTGAATTAAAGAGGCCGGAGATATTTTTAGATATAGTAACAATTGATTTTTTTAGGGATAAGGGTCAGATAGGGCCTCGAACTCGAAAAAAAATGTCAAATAAGGTCATATTTCGGATGCTCTGTCTGGCCGACGCCATTTGGGGCGGTTCCCGATGGAATTTTTTGATGAAATTTTTTGAGCATCTTCCTCATTAAGTCTAGTTTACCCATACCAAATTTCAGCTAAAAACTCAACCGGGAAGGTAGTCAAATGAATTTTTGAAGATAACTGTGAAGTTAAACAACGCCGTACATTTCGGAAAATTATTTGACTACCTTCCCGGTTGCATTTTTAGCTGAAATTTGGTATGGATAAACTAGACTTAATGAGGAAGATGCTCAAAAAATTTCATCAAAAAATTCCATCGGGAACCGCCCCAAATGGCGTCGGCCAGACAGAGCATCCGAAATATGACCTTATTTGACATTTTTTTTCGAGTTCGAGGTCCTATCTGACCCTTATCCCATTTTTTTATCTAATCAAGGATACAGATGGAAAAGTTGATATAATGATCTTTTAATTATTTTGTAGATAATTCTTTACAACTATTACTCCCATTTCACGATGTGAGATAAATGTGAGTTTGGCACCAGTTTTAAAAAAAGAGTTTTTACAAAAATATCATTAAAATAAAACTTATTTACATAAACATGACTATTCATTACTATAACGTAGTGTTGTGGTCACTTATGTTCAAAACTTGAACATGAATTACTATGATTTCATTACTACTCTAGTAACTAGTCATATTTTTGTAAATCATCTTTATCTAGATCATATTTGTAATTATTTCTTAAAAAAATAAAGGATCAAATAGTTGTTTATAATTCAAGTATCCAAAAAGTGTGAAAACGTAAGTCGAGTCCATAAACAGTAACTGATAGAATGATAAATATAGGAGTAAAGTATGAAATTAAAATTTTAATGGAATTCAGTTTAGGAAAATTTTTATGTTTTGGGATAATCTATAAATTAAAATTGTATTTTATAAAATGGAACAAAGGAGTATTAATTATTGTATGTTATGCAATAATTGTTGCCGAATTCATTATGCTTTTGTAATTATTTATACTTATTGTCTCTGTTCTCTTCATTTCTAGTATTTATTTATAAATTATAGTTATTTATTAGATCTCTACACAATCCTTAATTATTATTCATTATTTAGTTATTAAATGCTTCATTATGAAATAAATTTCACTTCTTTCCACTACAAACATGTTTCTACTCGATTTTTCATCATATTCTGCTTACAGGGAATACATTGGAAAAACTTTTGTGACATTGTTGAAGAAAGATAAACTAAGCACGACCATCTATTAAATTAATATGACATTGTTTGAAGAAGATATATGTCCATATGTAAATGTAAATGTATAATGAGAGTAAAATAGGGAATACATTGGAAAAACTTTTCATAGTGAACATAAGTATTAATAGTTATATCATTGTGTTGGTGAAACCAATTTGACCTCCCATAGGGTGGAGCCAGGGCACTAGGTGGGTATAAATATTTTTTTTTTTTAAAAAAAATTGCACGATTTTTTTTACTAAAAAATATAGGCATTTTTTAAATTTGGGATGGGTCGGGACCTAGGTTGCCCTCCTAGCTACGCCCATGACCTCCCATATGCAACACACTTAGTTCAAAATAATACGTAATACTTCTTACTCCGTATATCTTAATAAAACTAAACTCACAAACCTCAATCACACAACTTTTATATTTTTCTTAATTATCACCTACTTCGAACTTTGCAAGTCCACCGGGACGGAGATATAATACTATACGCAGATTAGAGAGTCCAGTAAAAAAATGTTGGATATGGAAAATAGCTAAACGAAAAAAATAATAGAGAGCCAAAAGGAGAGGATTTAGATATTTTAATGAAGTTAAATGGTCATTTTTAGAGATAATGAATTGTCATTGTAAGGCTATTTTCAGCTCATCCTTATTCCTCAATGTTTTTTCAAAAATATTCTTCTAATTATATATACAATCAAAATAAAGGTCACAATTTATTTTCTAATTCATGAATTGGTTTAAGTTAATCTAAGAATCTAATTCTAAGTAAAGGACAAATTTAGTTTCATCCTATTCAGTCTATTCCATCATCACCAAACAAGATCTTAAATGTTGGGAAACAAAATATGATTAATAATTACAATTGAAAGTTGAAAATTCTAAAGAAAGTTTTAAGACAGTAATTTCAACTATTATCGAGTTGTTTTTTTAATAATCTCAATTACATGTATAGTTTTCTAATACCGAAGTATTAATAATGCACAATCAGATTATAATAATCTAAACTTTTACTTTTTATACCCAAAAAAGGTAGACTACAAGCAAGGATAAAAAGTATACATAAATGACTATTGGTATGAGCAAGGGATAAAAAGTATCAATTCATACAATATCAATGACTTCATCTAAAATGGGGTTGTCAATCAAATTTCAAAGATGACAATATTCAGTAATGGCTATACGTGGGCGTTTCAAAGAGTAACAATCAGATCTTTGACAAATAAATATTTCAAAATCTGTAATATAGTAATGTTACTTATTTTTTCTTTTAGAATACATTTTTTTACTTATTTTTATATAGTGAAACTATGGCTCTGTTTGTTTTTCAAGGGTTGATGCAATTACGCGACATTTTTCAGAGTTTGCAGTTGTAAAAAGTTGGTGTTTTGGGGTAAAACGGTGCCACCCAAACACCCTCTATATTTAAATTTTAAATACTGACTACATGTGATGATGTGAACATTAATTTTAATTATAACCAATTGTAGAAACACAAACAATTTAAAACATAACTTCTTCCGTGCATCGCACGAGTGGAATACTAGTACTCCTAATAAGAAAGAGTAAAGGGTCAGTTTGGTCCTCGAAGTTGTAAAAAAGGGGTCAAATAAGTCCTTATATAAAAGATTCTGTCCGGACGTGCCATTTGAGGTGGCTCCCGGTAGAATTTTTTGATGAAATTTTTTGAGCATCTTATTCATTAAGTCTAGTTTACTCATACCAAATTTCAGATAAAAATTCAATCGGGGAGACATTCAAATGAATTCTTGAAGATAATTGCGCTTTTAACGGCACAGTTATCTTCAAGAATTCATTTGAATGTCTTCCCGATTGAATTTTTATCTGAAATTTGGTATGAGTAAACTAGACTTAATGAATAAGATGTTCAAAAAAATTCATCAAAAAATTCCACCAGGAGCCACCTCAAATGGCACGTCCGGACAGAATTTTCTATATAAGGACTTATTTGACCCCTTTTTTGCAACTTCGAGGACCAAACTGACCCTTATCCCTAATAAGAAAGGTGTTTGAATAATTGTCCGGTAAATCAAAAGAATTAATTATATTTTTGGTCCTATGAGTTTTGTGTCTATTCCTTATTCAATCCAAGTCTTTCACTTTGTCTACTTTTAGTACTTGACTAATGTTTCTTGACCACTGGTGGTTCTTTTTATGACGATTTTAACCATCATAAACATTGACAAAAAGACAATATACGAGCGAAAATACAATATTCATATATCAAAAGTTGTCAAAGTCAAAGACATAGAGCAATTACGAATTGGTGCAATACTCGTAGAATCAAAAGTGGAATTTATTCACTAGAAAATTACAATTGGTTGAATATAATGAGTGTTTGGATCTGATTCTTATAACTGCTTCTGCTCCTTCAAGGAGCAGAAGTGGAATTTATTCACTAGAGTTGGAGTGTTTGAGTGAAAGTGCAAAAGTGATTCTGGTGCTCTAATTTATTCTTAGAATCAGTTTTTTAGAAGCTGTGGGTGACCAGCTTCTGAAAACTGATTCTGATTCTGCTATTGCTTTAAAAAATAAGCATTTTCAAACATCCCTAAATCTGATTCCTAATTCTCCAAAACACTTTCACACAATTTTTTTCCTCCAAACAACGTTTTTCGATTTTATTAGAAACTCTCATAAATAAACTGATCTAGGATGAAAATCTAAATTCTTATTACAAAAGGTTCACCTCTAAACAAACCTAACCATCAAACAAATTGTACCATGATCTGTATATAGTTTTCTTAAGGGTGTACCTACCATACACAATCCAAGGTGACCTGGGAAAAGGAGAGAGAACGTGTCAAGACAGAGATTCAGTGACAACGGAGAGAGGTCGAGAGGGAGGAGTTGAGAAACAATGGCGGAGCGGGGCGGCGGAGGATGCTGTCCACCGATGGATCTCTTCAGATCGGAGCCTATGCAGCTCGTTCAACTCATTATTCCAGTCGAGTCCGCTCACCTCGCCGTAGCTTACCTCGGAGACCTTGGCCTCATCCAGTTCAAAGATGTACGTACTACCTCCTTATGCACAATATCATTGTTTGCTGTTCCTACTGTATCATTGATTGAGAGGTAGCTAATTATTATTGATTATTGCTGTACTTGTGGATAGTTACCGAGTTGATACAGCTATTAGATTTTGTTCTTCATGATGGTGTGCAAAGGAATCGGTTAGAGCACAATTGCGAATTCAACTTACCTTAAAACGTTGAGAGAGAATGTAATTTATTTTATTTAGGATTTTCATAGTTGGGCTTGTGAATGGAAACATAGCTGTCTTATCGATACTGTCATGGGGATTAGCTGATTTGCAGTTACAATGACGTATTTATGACATCGCTACATGACACAAGAAATAACAAGTACTCCATCTGTCCCAAATTAAGTTCCAATTTTGACTTCATATGTTTTAGGGGAGATAGATTTTGTATTTAGTTTGTAGATATGTCCCTCAACTAAATAATTGATGGGTAAAGTGAGTAATTAATGTTGTACTATGCATAAGCCATAAGGTAAAAAGTTATTTTATTCAAAAGTATCACCAAAAGGAGTGTCAACAATGTGGGTCATGTTTGTGGCGCATGTGGCGTGGAAAATGGAAATGGCGATGTGCACCAATCGTGCCATGCCACCATCACATAAATGTTGGTTGCCATAGAACATTTTTGTGGTGAGAAGGGCTTCAAACCCCTTTGGTATACTAAGGCGCACACTGTTGATAAATGTGATTGAAACTACACTTGTTTGTGGGACTGCAGAGTATTTGTATTTCATTTCAAGGGACCATAAATAATTACGGGTAAGATATACAGATTTAAATGTAGTGACAATCTAAATTTAAGGGGACATGCATGCATATGTTTCTGTCGTTTCTTGTTTGTTTGTTTCTTTTTTGTGTAACTAATAAACTATTGTTACATTTATATCATGACTTTTTTCCAGCATTAGAGTGATACTGACTTGCAAATTAGTCGTCTAACTTGGTATAGGGGAAAAATAATAACTGAACCATCAGCCATCTGGTAGGTGGCTCCCGATGGTATCAAGATAGCTGCAGTGTTGATACAATGGCATGGTGCAGATTTAGGGCAGATAGTTTGTCTGTCTGTTGTTTGGAAAAGCTTGATTGCATATTCCTCCATATTACTTTATGAATATATTTTTGTTCATTATAGATGGGCCGTTGATCTTTAGTCATGTTAATAAAGTCATTGCTCTTGCCAACCTAATGGCAAACGCAATGAGTTTGATTATAGTTTTTTGTCAATATGCAAATGGCACTTCACAAATGATTTCACCTCGCCTTTACCGGGCTTGTAAGTTTCTTACTATACATTTTTTCAGTTTTTCTTCTTGTATTAATTGAATTTCATCTTACTGATGAAAGCATATGCCATTGATCCTCCTTGTTAAAGTCTTATAGTTTTTTTCATGTCCCCCGCAAGTAATGATATTTTCTCTTCCTTCTATTTTCTTCCAGCTGAATGTTGAGAAGAGCCCTTTCCAGAGAGCATATGCTACTCAGGTAAGTGTGTTCTATTGTCAATCAATTTTGATGGTACACATACATGAAATGATTTCAAATTTATTGGTTTTTTTTAGTTTTAAAAAGTGAAAACAAAAACTATGTATTCACAACAGGAATAGGGGATGCAACAAACAGGCGTTTACAAAAATCTTTTCAAAAGATCAATATTGTATAAAAGTTTGGAATCCATAAGGGGATGGATGATTCCCATTGAGTTTCTAATTGTCATTTTTGATCTTTTGCTTGAAGCATCCCAAGTGATTCCAACAATTTTCCATTGTGTAAAAATGTAAAATCAATAAGCTACTTTTTCTTTGGTGAAACTTTGAATACCTTTTAGGCTTTTACCAGTGCTGGACTGGCAGGACTGCATAAATATATTTTCATTCTTGTTGATGATTTATCATAGACAAGATTTAAAGTATATGTAGTGTTTTTTTCTTGTTGAAGATTAAGAGATGTGGAGAGATGGCGCGCAAGTTATGGTTTTTCAAGGATCAAATGTCAAAAGCTGGCCTGTCACCTTGTGCTAAGTCTGCCACACAGGATAACATAAACTTCGATGATCTGGAGGTATATCTAGTTGACTGGGCTCTCTTTATGTCTCGGTTATCCCATATCTGGTTGTTAAAAGTTGCTAGTATACCATGTCATTTTGAGATGATTTAAAACCTGTATATGCATATAGGTGAAGCTTGGAGAACTTGAAGCTGAACTGACTGAAATAAATGCAAACAATAATAAGTTACAACGGTCGTACTATGAGCTAGTGGAATACAGGCTTGTTCTGCAGAAGGTAGTTTATCGTGGCCTTTTGTTACAATAGGCTCTTTGGGCGCAATACATTGATCATTTGTGAGATAGTGAATAGAAGATGAGTGTAAGTGTGTAAGTTGTTTTGATCCTAAAAAGTTAGGAAATGTTACAATAGTCGTTTTCATAATTAAATCGAGTTGGAGTAGCTGAACTTTTTAAATAGGCTCTAAAGTATGTAAACTAAATAGTTGGCTTTGACTTCCACTTAAAGAAAAATGCTTCAAAATTTTATGATTCGAGAGTAAAGACATATTTACCACATATTTCTGCAGGTTGGTGAAATATTTCACTCAGCACAGAGTTGTGCTGAAGCTCAACAAAGAGAGTATGCATCAAATCAAAGTGGCGAAGAGTCTGTGGAAGCTCCACTCTTGTCGGAATTGGTAATCCTGCCTTGATCCATTAGTGATGAATAACTTTCCCCTCTTAGGTTTTCAGGCTTTTCTTGCGTTATGTAAAACGTTTTTCATGGAGGAAAATATCTTTGTTGATTCTTTCTACATATGTAGTTATTCTCTTAAACTAGTTCCATTTTTTCAATTTCTGTTTCTTGGTTGAATCTTAAATTATAAGTAGACAGACTATCTTATTTCTGCTACTCCTTTCACAGAATTTCATTTTTCGCATTTTCACAGCAACATATTTTTCTGCGGTCAAATGGGGCCCTGTCGTATTAATCATCGTTTCTTATTTTATTTTTATTGCAGGATATGTCAATGGATCCATCTAAGCAAATTAGATTGGGATCTATTGCTGGACTTGTTCCTAGAGAGAAATTCATGGCCTTTGAGCGGATTCTCTTCCGAGCTACCCGGGGTAATGTGTTGTTGAGACAACATGAGGTGGAGGAGCCTGTCACTGATCCTATTTCTGGAGAAAAGGTTAGCATGTAACTTTTTGTGGCACACTTTGAGATAGAAGAGGATATGTAATAGCTATTTCTAAAGTCAGTACTTTTCATTTGCTTAATAATTTGTAAATATCTTCTTCCATAAAGTGGTGTTGCTTATGCTAGCCTCTTATTGCAGGTTGAGAAAAATGCATTTTTAGTCTTTTTTTCAGGCGAAAGGGCAAAGAACAAAATTCTTAAGATATGTGAAGCTTTTGGAGCAAATAGGTACCCATTTGCCGAGGAACTTGGTAAACAGGCCCATTTGATAGCAGAGGTATAACTATGTGTTATTCCCATCATCCTAGCATTGCCTAAACCACATGTTGGGGGTATAAATATTTTTTCTGAGTTACCTTATACGCTCCATTTCCTTCAAGGTATCTGCAAAAACCTCGGAACTAAAGACTGCAATAGATGCTGGAATTCTGCACCGTGGGAATGTATTACAAATTATTGGCAAACAGTTCGACACCTGGAACTTTTTGGTCCGTCTTATGAAATAAGGCATTCTTATTAAAACATACCACATTAAAGTGATTACAGGTAGCATCCTTTCAATAGCTGAATTATTAATTTTACACCATCTCCATGCTGCAGGTTCGAAGGGAAAAATCTATTTATCATACACTTAATATGCTTAGCACAGATGTGACAAAGAAAGGCCTGGTTGCTGAAGGCTGGAGTCCTACTTTTGCAACTCAAGAGGTGTTTAGTTTTGAATTTCATTCATGTTATAATTTTTATAACAATGGCACATAGTCACGGCCTTTCAGAATTTAAAACAATGCTGGCTTTTGTGAAGCTTGGTATTGACATAGTTGTTTATCTTTTTATCGTATTTTTTTTATCTTTATCTTTTCTTTTTATCTTTTTTTGCTGAATTCACATGTCATATCATGTTAGCTGACACCAATTTCTTTTGAGACCAAGGCTTGGATGTTGTTGCACCATATCGTGCAGAATTTTAAAAAAATGTTTGATATGAACTTGATTCGTTTTTGAATAAAATCAAATTGCTTGCTTTGTGATCATGCAGATTCAGGATGAACTGAAGAGGGCAGCACGTGACTCTAATTCAGAAATGGGTGCAATTTTTCGGGTACTGCCTACGCGAGAATTGCCGCCCACATATTTCCGGACAAACAAATTTACTTCTGCCTTTCAAGAGATTGTGGATGCGTATGGGTGAGTGTCATGGGAGAGGTTTTTATCTGTAATTTTATCTTAGTATGGGAATTGAGATAAAAATTCATATTACTTACTAATTATCTTCTGCTACTCTACTCTAATAGAGTTAGTGCTCTTTTAATTGCAAGTCTATCATTATCATCTCTCAGAATTGGCACCCTAGCAATAGCACTTCAGCGGGACAGCCACTAACATTATTATTTTCAATTGCTCTTATTTTCCTGAATATGCATCAATCCGACAGTTCTGCATCATTTATTTGATTTCTAGTTTTTAACAACTAAACTTGGTTTGTCATATTTTACAGGGTGGCTAGATATCAAGAAGCAAATCCGGGTGTATTCACTATCGTCACATTTCCATTTCTTTTTGCAGTAATGTTTGGTGACTGGGGTCATGGTATATGCTTGTTACTTGCAACATTGTACTTTATAATCCGTGAGAAAAAACTCTCTAGTCAGGTGATTATATATTTATATATTAACATTGTAGAACCATTTGCAGTTATTGTTTTTGAAGTTGATGTATCACCTCTGATAATTTACGTGTCATTTACTGTGCCAACTCAAATATAAGATGTTCTTATGCAATTTTGCTAAAACTTGGGAATATGGCCATGCTTAAACTTTGTGGTTGCCTGGTTGAGTGGGAGAATATTTCTGTAACTTTAATTTATGGGTACAGAAAATTTAATGCATGCACGTTTTGCATAATACAAAAAATATCTGGAGGAATATAGTGGCACGAATGGATGAAATTCTTGGTCTTTAGTAGTTCTGTCAGAGGTTTATTTGGTGTTACTCTTTAATTTAACTCATATCTTATTCAGTTTTTGAAAAACTCCCTTAGTATCTTAGTCATTGGGAGTTGGGACATTGAAGACTTCAGGATCAGGGAATGTGCTCATGAACTAGGGCATATACATTATCGGAAAATATGTGCTTCCAATTTCTGCTTTTGGCCACAGCTACCCATTCAATATTTCAATATAAATTTAGACATTTTATAATAAGATCTATCGAACCATGAAATTTAGTAGCTTCTATTTATCATTGGGCGATGGAAGGATTATGTAATACTATTTGACCAAACTCATAAATACAAATAAAACCGCCTTCAACCTTTTCTTATATACAAGGACATAAGTAACAACTAGCAATATGAGTTGAACCCCTCATCCACTGGCACTAAAGCTACATGCGACTATCTAGGGCTGTACTTGCTATTTTCTGATGCCTGGTGTTGCTTCTGCCGCCTGTTAGTATCAGTATGGCACTATGAATGAAATCCTTATTTGTAAAGTTTTGTCCTTAAATGTCTAAATTTATATGTAGACTTGTAGAGGATCTATTTGTAAATCAATGTTTCTTAAGTAATTTATCTGTAGTGGGTCACTTAGTATTTCCCTGATAGATCCCCTCTACATATGCAGAAACTAGGAGACATAACGGGAATGACGTTTGGTGGGCGTTATGTGATATTGATGATGGCAGTCTTCTCAATCTACACAGGATTTATCTATAACGAATTTTTCTCTGTTCAATTTCCATTATTTAGCAGCTCGGCATATGAATGCCGTGATACTTCTTGCAGGTATATAAGTTAACTTCATTCTTCATACATTTCCGAACAATTGTTAATATGAAATTATATTTTATTGAAACTCGATTGCAGTGAGGCTACTACAATAGGCCTAATCAAGACACGTCATACTTACCCATTCGGTGTGGATCCTGCCTGGCATGGCTCTCGAAGTGAATTGCCATTTTTGAACTCCTTGAAGATGAAATTGTCAATCCTGCTTGGGGTGGCTCAAATGAACCTTGGGGTTTTATTGAGCTACTTTAATGCCAAATACTTCAGAAATAGTGTAAATATATGGTAAGCCGTAAGTTTTATATGCTTTAACTGGAGGTTGCTTCCGGCCATTGTTATGCTGGTGTATGAGTGTATCTAAAGTCTAAACTTGACTGAATGACGCAATTGCAGGTGTCAGTTTATTCCTCAAGTTATATTCTTGAATGCACTATTTGGATACCTTTCTGTGCTCATCATTATAAAGTGGTGCACTGGTTCCCAAGCTGATCTATACCATGTCATGATATACATGTTTCTTAGCCCTACAGATGATCTCGGTGAAAATCAACTTTTCGCTGGTCAAAAGTTAACTCAGGTTCATTTTCTACTTACTTTTCCGCTTCCACGGAAATAATCTTTATTTGTTGAAGTGCGCATTCGATCTTCAGTCACATATTCAAATTTTCCCTTTCCAGCTCGTACTACTACTTTTGGCACTGGTTGCTGTTCCATGGATGCTTCTCCCTAAACCATTCCTTTTGAAATCACAACACAACGTAAGGTTTATGTTTTTATTTTTGTTTCTTTTTAGCATTATTGCTTATATTATGAGATTTTAACTCACACATATAATGTTTATTCTTCAGAGACATCAAGCGCAGTCTTATGCACCAATTCAAGATCTAGATGAGTCCTTACTTGTAGATGGAAGTCATGATTCTAGTGATCATGAGGAGTTTGAGTTCAGTGAAGTCTTTGTGCATCAACTAATACATACCATTGAGTTTGTGCTGGGAGCAGTCTCTAATACTGCTTCTTATCTTCGTCTGTGGGCCCTTAGGTATGTGCTAATATATTCCTTGGCCAGCGTTAATATTTACCTGAATATTTAAAAGATTATCTGACCAAGTTATTACCAATTTTGTGTGACTTGAAATGACATGTAGACAGTATAATTAAATTTGTCCATTTGATTCTTATGCTTCAATTTCATGATAGAAGAAATAATTGCTTACTGAAATCAGAGGGCTTGGTTATGTGTGCAGGCAAATATTATAGTGTTATACTACTTATATGTGCTTGCTTATCCATGCAATGAATATGGCTAGAGCTTCATTTGCACACATATCTGCAATCTGCAATTTTTTACATTCATCATACTCCCTGTGACCCAAAAAAGGTTTATGTTTCCTTTTAAAGAAAGATGAAATTGTCACTGAAATTGTGTGGTTAATATTATTTCTTTTCTGCATAAATCTCAACCGCACAATTTCAGTTTCTTAGTAAGCATGCCGGGTCGAATGGGCAACCTTATTTTGAGTTGGGTAAAGCATAACATAAAGTAGCTCCCGTTTGATTAAATCTTTACTCAAGTATTCTATGTGTGGCCATCTTGCAGTCTTGCACATTCTGAGCTGTCAAGTGTCTTCTACGAGAAGGTCCTCATCCTTGCTTGGGGGTAAGTGCTTGTTCATAGTAGTTTGAATGCAAGAGTTCCATTACTAATTTGATGAGAGAAACTGAGAGAAAGGGCCAAAGTGGTATGGTTCGCCTGTTGGCAGCTGTTATGCACTGGAGCATCCATTATTAGCTGTATCTGACTCTCAGAGAAACTCCAATATCTGATGTTTTAATACTATGATAAATTTTAAATATATACCCTTATCCTTACAGTCGAAGCAACACAAGCCCTTGCAACTTTTCTTCCTTATAGAATGTAGATTTTAGAGCCCGTTTGGCAAGGACAGAATTTGACAGAACTGACTGAGTATGCTATATCAGTCGTATTATCTATAAACATATTTAAGTAGATTTTTTAATACGTAAAAGAAATTAATATTTGTTTTAAAAAAAAAATGAAATTAATATTTAAAATGAGGGTAGATGTTTCGTGTTTCGTTTTTTTAAATATAAGCAAACAAGTAATGCTTGTATTATGTTTTCTTAATAAGCAATAGCCAATTAGTCATCGACTCATTGCTGTCAAATAAGTTTGGTGTAAAATTTGGCCTAGTTTCATTTCTATTCTCTCAGGTGTACCTTTAAATCACATGCACACTCCACACACACATTAAACAATCCATGCATGGAAGAGGTGGCAAGAGTTGTGGATATATGCTAGTGAGCGATAGCAATGATGTCAAATATAATACGGAGTATTCGACTTAATGCAGGTACAACAATATTATGATTCTTATAGTTGGCATAATTGTGTTCATTGCTGCGACTGTTGGTGTGCTGTTGGTGATGGAAACACTGAGTGCATTCCTTCATGCGCTAAGGCTTCACTGGGTGGAGTTCCAGAACAAGTTTTATGAGGGAGACGGATACAAGTTCACTCCTTTCGCTTTTGCTTTGCTTAGCGAGGAAGAGGATTAAATCAGTGTTGATGTTCATGGTCTCGTGTTCTTTTGCTTCTTTCACCATCAGCAACAGCAGCTAAGGTGGAGGGGTTTCTCTTTTTCTCTTCTTTATTTGTTGGGATTTGGAGATGAATGATATTTTTACTGCGTGAGCTTCCATCCCTCAACGTTGTGTAATAATAATAGTAACATTATTAATTACTAATAATAAGCATCTTGTCTGTATTCTGGCAGTTGCTGATACCTCACCTATTAGGCATTAGCCTATGTTGTATATTACTCGTCCTATTTAATAAAGAGGATTATGCTCAAGGGTCAAAAGGGACATGTGTCCGCCGGAATGGTTCAGTTTACACTCCGCACACTAAACTATAAAAAGTCTTAATCACATTCGAACAAAAAACTGAAATAGCCAATTTTGCAAGTTTCAAACATTTGCTATAGTACGGACTCGGCATGGACCGGTCCCGGGCCGGGCTCCGGGCCGGTCCTGGGGGCAGTGGGGGGCTTTTTGGGTTTGGCTTCGGGCCCGGAACCTGCCCGGGTTTCCACCGGGTCTGGGCTGGTCCCTGGGCTTCTTCATTTTTTTGCTTTTGTAATTAACCCCCGACCCCCACCCCTCCTCCAAAACACCCAACCCAACTCGGGAAAAACAAAAAAAAATTGAAAAAACCCAAAAAAAAAGGCCCGAATCGGGCCTGGACCGGCCGGTTCCTATTTTGGGTGACCCGAGGGTAGTCCTGGACTCGGGCCGGTTCGGGCCCGGTTCGGGCCTGGGCCCGGCCGGGCCACGGGCCAGGAAAGGGAGGCCCGAGCCCGAACCGCCGGTGGCCGGTTCCGGTCCCGGTTCCGGGCCAAACCGGGCCGGGCCGGGCCGAACCGGCCCAATAATTTTTTTTTTGTTCTCCTATTTAATCCCCTACCCCTCCCCCTCAACCCCAAACCATCCCAAACCACCTCAAATGGCCCAAAATACCTAATCCAACCTAAAACTTAAAAAAAATTCAAAAAAAAAAATTAAAATTAAAATCCGGCCCGGACCGGGCCCGAACCGGCCGGGCCGGTTCACCAAAACCTAGGCCCGGGCCCGAACCGCCCAGCAGCCGGGCCGGGCCGAACCGAACCGAGGGACCCACCGGGCCCCGGGCCGGGCCGGGCCAAACAGTGACCGGGCCGGGCCGCCCGGCCCGAGTCCAGGACTACCCGAGGGCCGAGACTGACCCGTATAACCCCCGGGCTAGGGGTGGACTCGGGCCGGTTCGGGCCTGGGCCCGGCCGGGCCTCGAGCCAGGAAAGTTGGGCCCGAGCCCGAACCGCCGGTGGGCGGTTCCGGGCCCGGTTCCGGGCCAAACCGGGCCGGGCCGGGCCGGGCCTAACCAGTTCTAATTTTTTTTTTGGCTCTTCTATTTAACCCCCAACCCCTCCCCCTCAACTCCAAACCACCCCAAACCACCTCAAATGGCCCAAAATACCTAATCCAACCCAAAACTTAAAAAAAATTCAAAAAAAAAATTAAAACCGGCCCGAACCGGCCGGTCCGGTTCACCAAAAACTGGGCCCGAGCCTGGACCGCCCAGCAGCTGGGCTGGGCCGGACCGAACCGGTGGACCCACCGGGCCCCGGGCCGGGCCGGGCCAAACAGTAACCGGGCCGGTTCCGGGTCGGGCCGCCCGGCCCGAGTCCACCCCTACCCCGGGTCGAGCCTATCCGGACCGGTCTCTGGCCGGACCACTGGGCCGGACCAGTTCCAAACAGTACCGTGCCGGGCCGGGCCACGGGCTGGTCGGCCCTAGGGGTGGACTCGGGCCGGGCGGCCCGACCCGGTTACTGTTTGGCCCGGCCCGGCCCGGGGCCCGGTGGGTCCAGCGGTTCGGTTTGGCCCGGCCCGGGTGATGGGCGGTCCGGGCTCGGGCTCTGCTTTAGGCGAATCGGCCCAGCCGGTTCGGGCCCGGTCCGGGCTGGATTTTATTTTATTTTTTTTGAATTTTTTTTTAAGTTTTGGGTTGGATTAGGTATTTTGGGCCATTTGAGGTGATTTGGGGTTGAGGGGAGGGCTAGGGGGTTAAATAGGAGAACAAAAAAAAAGGACCGGTTTGGCCCGGCTTGGCCCGGCCCGGTTTGGCCCGGAACCGGCCACCGGCGGTTCGGGCCCCGATTTTCTGGCCCGAGGCCCGGCCGGGCCCAGGCCTGAACCGGGCCCGAGTCCATCCATCGGCCCGGAACCGGTCCACCACTAGTACGGACTACTACGGAGTATTCATTTGAAAGTCACTGTGTCAAAGTATATAAAAAATTAAAAAATTTGAAAGTAACTGTGTCAAAATATATAAAAAAACACAGTTATTTTCAAAAATTCATTTAACCGGCTTTTGATTGAACTTTTTGTTAAAATTTAGTGGACATAATATTAATGTTATGAAGAACATGCTCATATAATTTAAGCAAAAAAGTTCACACAAAACCACTCAAAATGAGGTGACTGAACAACGGTCGTGTCTGAAATTTCCAACAAGAATCTTTTTGTAACTAGGGAGGTATAAAGACTATTAATATGTGTGTCAATTCCTATCACATGTGATATAGAGTATTAAATCTTAGAGAGAAGAGAGCTAGAGAGAAAATGGGCAATTGATATTTTATCAAACCTCTATAAGTACCATAAGTATAAGTATATGGTTGAGTACATGGTTTATTTGGCTAAGTATAAAATTTTATCTTGCCAGAGTACTTCTTGGCCAACGATGTACCCTCTGGCTGATGGAGGTAGGGGTGGGTTTGGTTCAAACGGTTCGTTTTTCGCCTAAAACCAAATGCCGAACCAAAGTAAAAAGTTCGGTTCGGTTCAATTTTATATTCAAAAATTTGAAACCATGGTTTGATCGGTTCGGTTTATTTCGATTCGGTTTCGGTTTTTTCGGTTTGTACCAAAATATTTTTGTTGATTACAAAAAGTAATTGGTAAATAAAAAATAGACTACATCAAACTATAATTAATAGTAATACAATACAAAAACATAATTAAACAAAGAGAGGAGAAACAAATATAATGCATTTCCAGACAATGAATTAGAAAGTGTATAATATTAAACATTATATAAATTAATTGAACACATAACTTTATTTTCGAGCTACATATAGTGTGTCCGCAAGTTAAAGTTTTAATGTAAATGTTAAAGAGAGGGAGAGGAAGGCCCAAACAGACGTGGGTTAGGGGAGACAGAAGTGATATGCTTCTTCTTGGATTGGATGAGAGTATGGCTTTGGAGAGAGCAAAATGGAGGGCGGGTATTCGTGTGGAAGGGTGATCTTGTATCATCTTTTCTCCTCTTTTTTTTTTCTTTTTCTTTTATATTTTTATCCTTATATATAAATATTACTTTATCCTTTTTATTTGATCTTTTATATGTATATTCATCTCTTTTATATTATCTTTTTTTTATAATAGCTTATCTTTTTTATCTTTATTTTCGTTCTTTTCCTTTTTGTGATATCATATATCGATTCATGTTAGCCGACCCCAATTTCGTTTGGGACTAAGGCTTGGATGTTGTTGTTGTTGTTTAGGGCAAGAGATTCATGCTCAAGAGCTCCACGTTTTTTACCATGTCGTTTAAAGTATAGTTTATATTAATACATATTCGGTCAATATGAAAAATTATGTGATAACAAACACACATAACAAATAATGTATCAACAAAATAGCATTGTCATGCAGCAACAAACAAAATTTAAATTACGATTTAAAATATCAACATAAAGTTTTATGTGAATTTAAATTATCATTGTCTTAGACTTTTACAAAATTACTGTTTTTAACATTTTTTTATTGATTATGTGACCAGTTTTTAACAATTAGCATTTTCTTTTATGAATTTATTTGATTGATACGAACATATGATTACGTGACCAATTTATTAATTGATAAATCGATTTAATTCATATAGTTGTTTAATGCTTATAAATGATTATGAATTGACAAATAATTAGTTGATTTGTTACATGTTAATTAATTTGTGATTGTTACCTATTGAGTGTTGGTGTTATAATTTGTTCATTTTGTTAGGTAAAAATGTTCAATTATAGTTAAATTTATAAATTTAACTAATTCCAAGGTTTAATAAAAATGGGTGAATCTGTATGGCAGAAAAAGATAAAGAGAAGATTAGATAATGCTTTCCTAAGTAAAAATGGTGTAATGGAAAAGTTTGTTTTTATGAAGAAGACAAATTCCGAAAGTCCTTCTGAAGATAAAAACTTAGAGGAGAAGAATGATTCAGCTACCGAAAACCTATGTTGTAAAAACCGGACCGGAGAGTGACCCGGCCACATGACTGGGTCACGGGTCAACCCGGACCCGGTGGGTCAACCCGGTCAACGCCGGAAAACCGGTCAATGATTATACGTCTATATAATAATAGTAAACATATAATTATATATAAAATTATAATAAAAATTAGTTATTATTCATAATAATCAACTAACAATACTACTTATTAAGCATTTAATACACTCTTATAATATTTCAATGCATATTTTGATCTTATAAAAATATATAATGATATTTTTATTTTTATTGTATATCTATATTATAATTTGGCATGATGTTCATTATTAAATAAATATATAAATATATTACGTAGTTTTTCTTTTTAAGATATTGAAATTGCAATTTTATTGGTATAAAAAATGCATTAAAAATAAAAAAGAAAATACTTTTTTTTTGGTAAAAACACCCAAAAACTGGGTTTTACCGGGTTTTTCGGGTTTCTTGGGTCCGGGTCTTGACCGGGTTTTCCCAGGTCAGCCGAGTTTTTCCGGTTTTTTACCATTTCCGGGTTTTGAAAAAACCGAACCGGTTTTTTGTCCGGGTCACCGGGTTCCGGGTCAACCCGGCCGGGTCGGGTCGGTTTTTTAAACATAGCCGAAAACGAAATAGTTCATAATGATAATGTCATAGGAGGTGAGAACTTAGGAGTTGATAACATTGGTAGTCACCAAGCAATGTATTTAAGTAATTTTATTTGTTTATTTTGAAAATGTGATTCAACTATGTTTAATTTAACTAATTCAAGTATTTTTCCTTATTATAAAGTTCTTCAAATATTATTATTTTGCATGTTAATTTAGATAAAAACAGGTTTAACATTTTTATATATTAAAATTAGGCCCATTTTAAATTATTCACCCCTTGGCCTTCAAATATACAAGGCCACCCCTGTGTCTCTCCTTCCCTTCAAACTATCTCACTCCGGTTGTTATATGGTGGGAGCAGTCCATTGCGAGCATGATATTTTTACAGTTAAAACGCACGTGAATGGTAA